CAGCAATCACGTGCCAAATTCTTGGAACAGTTCTCGTAAAATTTGCATCGCGCTCGGGAACGCTGCAGCTGGAGAGCTCGATAAGCACCGACCGTTACGGAGATGATCACGCGTTCCGGCAGCAGATCCGATGCATGGAAACTCCATCTTGAATATTGTTCCGAAGACGTGCATGGTTTTGTTTGTTATTGCAGCCTGCTAGCTGGAAAATTTCTGCAGTATTAGGGAAGTATAGAGTGTTCATGACAAGTTTTGTACAGGGTTATGGGCAGGCCATTAAAAAATATTGTTCCGAAGACGTGCATGGTTTTGTTTGTTATTGCAGCCTGCTAGCCGAAAATTTTTTTGCAGTATTAGGGAAGTATAGAGTGTTCATGACAAATTTGTACATGGTTATGGGCAGGCCATTCAAAGATGTCATAAATTTAACGGTGTCTTTATTCCCATTGATCGAGACACGAATAGTCTTTTCCTGTTCAATGTAAATCGTTCATTGAAATCATAAGTTTTTAACTGGCTACTTGTCTTTCTTATCAAATAAATGATGTTCTAGCTTTCCTGCTGCTCAGCAGTTTTGCATACACTAATTTTTTACATTTTTTTAGAATGCAAACATATACTTAACTAAAATTTTGGCATGAAGATTTCATGTTTTAGAGACGCGTGTTCGCAAACATTTTCTTATTCCCAAATTAAATTCCGCAAATCACCGAGTACCACTGCCAGAATAATTGATACGATCTACTAATTGTCGTAACCACATCTGGCATAGAACGTTTCCCATACAATTTAGTTTTGAATGCTACTTTTCACATATCAGAACATTTCTAGCATAAAAAACGCCAACTTATAATCATGCTACATTGCGGTTTCATACTTTTTACTGTTAGGAGTAATTTCAATATTCCTCGGCGAAAAGATCTTCGGGGTTTTACCATCCTGGGTAAGAATTTATCTGGCCTTTACTTGACTATAATTATGCGACCAGACGCTCATTTACGACCATTATTGGATACGCCAGAGTCATATATCACATGCATATCAATGCGCATAACGACGCATGCATTTATATGCCTGGAGAAAAAATGGTTTCCTCGTATTCGTGATATGTTATCCCAATTAAAGATATTCGTAAATGTATTATTGACCAAGTTTTGCCTAGGTCTGGAAAACCTTAGCTTGGTGAGTTCCTTAGATTTAAATTGTTAATTTGAAACTAGCATTCAACGATGGATAGTGGATGTGGATTGAAGCGAAAAAAGAGTTTGGTCATTTTATTTATTCGCTACAGATTTTAGCTAAATAGTCAATGAATAATTCAGAGTGCCTGTGAGTCTGAATTAAATTAATGGTAATGGTATTAACATGTTATCATTTATTTCCACCTTCAGCAACGTAACACGATAAATTCTATTCGATCGCTAAATCTGCTAGAATTTCATTTCAGCTATTAAAATGTTTCATATTTTGTCCTTTTGATGTTTGTTGAGTTCTGATCCGTCATTCTGCGGCTGTGAATTGCGATGCGTCACTGAATAAGACGACATTTTCATCTAATTTATAATCTTTTATATTCGAGTAGCTTAATTAAATGTTTAGTAATAGATGCCAAGAAATTTATTATTTGCCTTTTTTTAAATATTATTAAATGATGCCACCACGTTCGTCAAATAGACTCCCTTAATTTAAAATTCATTAATTGATGCCCACGTACACCAATATTGTCCATTGAAGACGAGCCTTAAGTAAATTCATTCTCTCTCTACCATGAAAAAAAAATTATTGAGGGAAGCCATCGTAACGTACTTATTTTTTCTCGGTGTTCCTTGACTCATTCATCGCGAGCTCGTAACAAAGCCTGTAAATAAAATTTCTTAGGAAGCTAAATTTTCAAAAACCTCGGACGCCAATTACGTAGATTTATTACTTCAATTTATCACTCGGTGACTCTTCTTAGAAACAGTCAGAAATAGATTAAGGAGTCGTTTGGTTGAATCGAGTCTTGTAGCCCTTTTTGTTGGTTGCAGTTAAGGTTTCAGTAGTAAGGGTTAAGTTTTAGGTGGCTGCGTGAGTAGAAATATCTTTCTTGAAGGAATAATGGTTGAAAATAGAGCAAAAATTAAAATTTAATACTTTCGTACTACTGCACTCAGTGAAACAAATCGGTTAAATTGTCCAAATTGTAATACACTTTCCACACGTAGCACTGATACGTCTTTTTGTCAGGTAATACCGAGTCTAGATTCCCACACACTGACAGAAAGTGCGTCACTATTAGGACACAGCGTCACTCAATTCCTGGAAATAGTGGGGCTTTGTCTTCCAATTAAAATTAGAAGCTGTATTTAATCAGATGACATTCTAGTTTGATCACGACAAACTTGTTGAGAACCATGGCACGGTCGGTCCCAGATTGACGACGCTACACATTTCCTGCACTTTACACGAATTCAAATCTTAACCCTCGCTACGGGAGGCCGGCATCTCCCATTTCTCGTCATTTTTGAGCCGCTTGCCGCTCATTGAAGTTATTTAGAGACCATTTGCATAAACGCTCTGCCCTCGCAATCTGAACTGCCGACAATAGCATCCAGTGAATCACCAGGCAAGAGTAGTTGAACGTATACAAATTTGAACATCACGATGTTGGATCATTGTGGGTGATGTTATTCATGTTACCTTTAGTATTGAATAATCGTGATTGATGTTACGCGCAGTTTGATCGATGCCCTGGGTGATATTACCCAGGTGACCAGCAGTTTGATCCATGTCATGGGTGATATTATACTAACGTTACCTACAGTTTGATCAGCATGGGGATGTTACCCCTTAATTGTTACCCACGTTATTGCATTGTTTGGGAGAGATGTTACCCATGTTTTACCCACGGTTGAAAAGCAACGCCGTCGGCACTGATGCAAGCAAAATTTTCTGCGCAGACGTAAAAGAATAATTAATACTCATAATTATTCATGAATGAAAAAAATTGCGAAATTTTGATCATTTATTGTTCAGGAATGTCAATTTGCCAATTCAGGAATGTCATCGTCTAAAGGTTAATTTTTGTGCATCTGAAAATTAAATTTATGCGGGCAATCTCCGTATGAATTCTGTTTCTTCTATTTGGTATAATGAACTATTTTTATCCTAATTATTTTTATTACAAAACACCTTGTATAATTGAGGGTATAGCGTCTAAAAAATTCCTTGAAATTTTCTACGTTGCCTAAGAAATTCAATTTACGGCGAGATTTCAGGCCAAGCCTGATCTCCGCGTTTCAATTTATATGAAACTGGAAAGCTTAGCTTTAACAAAGTGAAGAAGGTGCGCCAGGGTAGACGACTTTATCAGTTGAAATTTCGCTCACCTCGTGTGCCGAAATCAATTTAATTTAACGGTGATTTTCTATGACCTGATTTAGGGAGTAAATTCAATTTTATTTTACTAGCTACATTGTAAAGAATTTACTAACAGCATTGTACATTCTGGAAAGCCATAATCCCAAAACTTGAGTGAGAACATTGTATTCAGCATGAAATACCCCTCATATTGTTCCATGTCCTGCTTAAATTGCAACATGTTCCACTGAAAAAGCCTCGTGAATTTCTATCTAAATTGTATCATGAAATCCTACTTAAAATGCACCGTGAAATCATTAGTGGACATCAGATGTATCAAGCATACGTCATGGAATTCTCAAGGGAAAGTCGTTCATTGAAAATTGGCGTCTGGAGAATCTGTGTCGACAACTTAAACCTTTTGCATGAATATGAAAAAATCATTGATATTATGGCCATCAACGTGCAAAAATATTCCCAAGTACAGAAAAAAGTTTCCTTTAGTTGAATTTTACACTACATTTTCCCAAAATTCGAAATGATTAGCTACTGAAAATATGAACACTGACGTGATGGAGCTGCAAGCGGTTACCCACAGCCCCTCTGACGATGTTATCTGCCTTCTTTAATGATGAAGAGAATTTAGCCGCGGCGTAAACACGGCGTTACGGGGAATCAAGGCATGCGCTCCCCAGCCCAGAGTAATTTAATACACTGAGATGGGGACGGGTTCATCAAGCGAAGTAGGAAATACCGTACGGTAGGCTGAATCGGCAGAATTCCGTACGGTAGGCTGAATCGGCAGAATTACGTACGGTTGGCTGAATCAGCAGAATTCCGTACGTTAGGCTGAATCAGCAGAATTCCGTACGGTAGGCTGAATCGGCAGAATTCCGTACGGTAGGCTGAATCAGCAGAATTCCGACGGCAGAATTCCGTACGGTAGGCTGAATCGGCAGAATTCCGTATGGTAGGCTGAATCGGCAGAATTCCGTACGGTAGGCTGAATCGGCAGAATTCTGTACGGTAGGCTGAATCAGCAGAATTCCGTACGGTAGGCTGAATCAGCAGAATTCCGTACGGTAGGCTGAATCAGCAGAATTCTGTCGACGGGAGGTCTTGAGATGACGGAACGTTGTAAGTTAGCAGGTAGTGAAGCGTTGTAATTCTAGAGGTGGTGAAGCAATGTAAATCTATAGATTAAGCAACAATGTGAATCTATAGGTGTGGTGATGCTTTGTAAGTTTGCAGATAGTGAAACATTGTCATTTTTGGATGTGGTAAAGCGTTTAAAGTTAGAGGAGGTGGAGAGGCGTTGTAACTCTGGAACGAAAAATGCCGCGAGTTGTTAGGTTATGCTCGTGTGAAAATTTTCGTTGCATTTCTTGTCGCTTGATCTAAGACGAATTTATCAAGATATTCCGGATAACTTGCTATTTTTCCTTCCTTTATTGCAGGATTTTCTTGAGTGGTACTAAACCATGAACTGTGTTTACTCTCAAAAATTTCCTACATATGTGAATCGTTATCGTTTGATTCGTGAAATAAAATATTTCATTATAATAAAATTTTAAAATAGAATATTACATATTAAATGGCTCAGAAAATGAGTTCTTTTAATTAAATTGTCATAATTTATTGTAATCTTATTGTGTTTGCAGAGCCACAGCATCCATGGCATGGGTGAGGAGGACCGGCACAACAGACCCCACCAGGAGATGGGGCAGCTCACGCCTGAGGAGAAGAGGTTCCTGCTCGCCGTCGAGCGAGGAGACGTCGCTACTGTCCGCAGGTCAATTAAGTTCATTTTATGTTGGGATACTCTTGTCTTAAGGTCGAAGCACAGTTGGTTAATTTGACTTCGATAATTTCTCAACACAATCAGGGATGAGAAACAATCTCATCGCACAATCTGCAATCAGGGTTATTTTTACTTCAATAATGTCTTATCTTACGGTCATCGTCACAATCCACAACGTGAGTTAATTTTACAGCACTTCGATAATTTCTTTTCTTACGGTCTTCGTCTCAATACGCAACGTAGGTTGGTTTCGCTTCAATAATATCCTTTCCTACGGTCATCGTCACAATCCGCAACCAGTGTTAGTTTTACTGCGATAATTTATCTTACGGTCATCGTCACAATCCGATACGTGGGTTAGTTTTATTTCAATGATTTCTTTTCTTACGTTATTCGTCACAATCCCCAACGTACGTGGTTAAGTTTTACTTTAATAATTTCCTATCTTACGGTCTTCGTCACAATCCGATACGTGGGTTAGTTTTATTTCAATAATATCTCTTCTTACGCTATTCGTCACAGTAACCAATGGGAGTTTTTTTGACTTAGATAATTTCTAATTTTAAGGTCTTAGTCACGGTCTGGCGATGTGTAATTTCAATGTTATGCTTTCTGATCTTATGATCATCTTTATATGTGTCGCGGTCAGCTGATGTGCTATTTTTGTGTAATGATATTGCTATTGTCCGAAGGTTTTTTTCCAGTGTCCTCTGTTTGTGCACACTGCTTAGGTACTTAAAAATCTTGTCATTAACAACTTGTATTAATAATAATATTATACATTGTTATACTGCTAATTTTGAAAAATGAAAAACTCACTACGATTTTTTGTTCAAAGCCACTAACTCAAATCGGAGGTAAAAATTTTTTTTGACAGTCTAACATATAACATGACTTTCATAATAACAGGATTTTTTACCATGATTTCTCTTCGGCATCTCTGTTATTTTTGTATTTCACGGTTTTCAAATCCAATATTGTGTTTACATCCATGAATTTGACTTGCAAAACACAAGGGATAATTAGCATTCAAAAGATGGACGTTGAGAGCGAACTAATGGAACAAGCAGCAACGTGGTACATGCTGAACGCTCGAGCTCCGGCTTGTCGGGGCTTAATTGAATAGCCTTTTCTTTCTTATCGCTTATCCTGGTTTTAATTTATGACCGTTTAATTGCGCTGCTCTCCATAAAATTTTTCTTCGTTGTCGAGTGCCTCCTGGTTTATTAATTTATTTGTACGAATCGTCATACTTAGCGCTTCAATGGACTGAAAACCTAGTGTCTTTTAGCAAATCGTAAGTCACATTTTGATCCTAAAAATCTATGAAATTAAATCACAATAACGGCTCTGGAGAAGTTTTTTGAGAGACAATTTGTAGGCAGTTAAAAATTCAACACTACTCTTTTGCTTGTAAACAAACTTTGGCTATAGAACGAGGGCATTCAGAATGAAGCTAGGGAATTCGAGGCGACTGAACCTTCCACTCCTAAATAATGAACGAGTTACTTTGTGAGTAGCAGCAACTTTATCCATTCTTGAATTATTCTTGCGAAAGTTTCAGAAGATATATTCGATTTCGGAAGAAATTTTTTCATGAAGAATTGATCAGAATGGCTATCTGAGCTTCATGTGAGACTCTTCAACTTATGGTTTGACACCAAGCGTTTCATATAACACACGTTTTCCCATCATTGCTCTTTATTTTATTGCAGTGACAATTAATTTTGTTGGGGCGTCAATATAATGGCGTGTCATCGCTAAGTGACGCTGGAAGATGGGTCTAAGATGTCATCTCATGTCGTTTATGAACTAAGAACCACTTTTCAAACGAAAACTAAGAAAAATTCTTAAAGCATGAATCTCCTAAAAAATAAATAAATATTTAAATCTGAAGTAAAGCCCGCTTATTGGAACTAAACAATTTTGGATTAAGTTCTCTTCCATTTTAAAGTGTAAATAGACTTTTTTGATGAAAACGAGATCATGCTGAATATGTGTAATTTAAAATATGTGGAAAGTTGTCTGCATTAAGTTTGGCGAAGTTTGTACGAATGCTGCCGTTTCATCTCTATCTCTAATCCTGAAAATCCTGCACGGAATAATTTGTGACGTTTTGATCCTGGTTTAAATGAAAGTTCTGAAAATTTCTCGGTTGTGTCAAAAAACTGAGCTGCAATTCTTTCAGAAGCAATAGCGAAGATAAAACTTATTTCTTTTAAATAAATTTGGTCTTGCCACTTCTTCCAAAAAATTCTTTTCTACTCAAAAGAAATGTCTCTTGTCCAAACTCATCAAAACGGAGATTTTCATAGGATTTTGTTTTATGAAATTTGCGTAAAAGTTAAAAATGTCATTGGTCTCATTGAATGTCAAATGTCAAGGCCTCATTGAATCTGTATTATTTATAAATAAGACATAAAGTGAAGTCATGCCTATCAACTTGAAGGTCAAACTAAGAAGAGGGTGCAGAAGTTGGAAATAACTGACTTGATTAAAGTTATTTCCTTCAATTAATATATGCCGATCACCAAATTCTTCAAATGATACTTCATTGGTTATTCTAATCAGTAAACTCAACACCCAAATTTCATCAGAAAACATCTAAAAAATACTTTTAAAACGCTCGTGTAAAGTAAAGCAATTTAATAACCGTAACTTGCGCGGAAAAGTTTGTGGGAAAATTGTAGACTTTGTTCCATGGAATGAGCTCGGTAATTTATTGTATTTCTATACGAAACTTTGACCAGGAAACACCTTCGTTCTCCTAGTATGTAATTGCACCATAACTCAGAACTGAGGATGTATTTTGTTCAGTGAAGCAACGAGCCTGCCGTGATTTTTGACTTGGAGTGTACCTCGCCTATGTATATTTTTTCGAAGTAAAAGTTCCCTGGAGAAAATTTAGAACATCCTGCGGACGCTTGAATTTCTTCTAGAATTCATAATAATTGTATCGTGAAAGATCATCATACACGATTTTTAATGATTGATCTTACTTACACAAATGACTGCATGGAATTGTTGTTATCGAGTTGCATTGCCGTCGATAAACCATGTATGATTACACGATTAATTAAGTTGCGAATTTACAACAACAGTTTTGGCAATCAATAGCAATACAATATTGAAATAAACTGAATCTTTAAAGTAAAACGAGATTTTCCATTTGTTTTGTATTTTTATATGTTATGAAAGAATACATTTTTCCTAAATGTGCACATCAGTTTCCCGCTTCTCCACTCATAAGAAAAAAATCTCCAAATTTCCTCGAGATGAACAGAAACATTTTTTTTTTTGCCGTCGGCAAAACGTCGGCGAAAGTCTTTAACGTTACGCCATATGCGCACTGCTGCCCTAATATTCCGCCCTCTTTATATTTTTCCGGTACAATGACTCTGACTGTGGCATGCATTGGCAGAACAAAGCTTTTTTTTTGCATATTTTGATCTGCAATGCGTGTAGCCTTTTGTTCTTTCGTTTATTGCTTGGGTCTCTTTGATTGGCGTTTCTGGTATCAAGTTCACTTTTTGTACTGTATATGTACTAATAAAAATGCGGAACTTATCATTGAATAAAAATGGTAATTTTAAAAAATTTTACTCAAAGAAAGTTGAACCAATAACAGCTTTCACAGATCACCAATTAATTTTGTTCGATTGAATTCCACCTAATTTACTTTGAAGACACCGGTAATTTCCCACTTAAAATCTGAGCAAAACAGATGAAGCGATCAATAATCTCTAATTTACTGGCAATGTTGATTTTTTTTCTCCACTTGGCATGAAGAGAAGCAATCAGAGTCTCATGGCTTGAAGATGAGGCACGGCCTTTGATTCGGTAATTTGTTTCAGCATCGAGCGCCCTAGACCGGAGACGACTGGGAATCAACAACGACTGGAAAACGTCTTAGCTTTCTACGTCAATTCCATGCGAGCACGTGGCGTATAAAAGTATACGAGCACTCAGAGTGAAAAAAATTGCGAGCCTTTGGCGTATAGTTCAATAAGAACATGTGTCGAATAGTCCTATACGAATGCCATCCGCGTAAAATGCTAATTAATGCTATACGAGCACGTGTATATTATAGTAAACGAGTAGTTAATGTTTAATAGCTAATTGTTCCTGAAATAAGTTTACAATTAAACTATTAACAAAGAGTGTATTATGGAACAAAATTGATGGTTTGACTGCAATATTTTGCCAGGATGTTGGTGCACTCACAAGAGACGGGCTGTATCAATATCAACTGCGTGGACCCACTGGGCCGGTCGGCGCTACTCATGGCCATTGACAACGAAAACCTCGAGATGGTCGAACTGCTCATTGAACACAAGGTGAATAATTCGAGATAATCATATAGAAACGTACAATTGTTAATGTAATTGAATAATTGTAACTAAGAAACCAATATATATGCATGTATTTAAATCATAGTTTTAGTGGTGATTAAGAGACGTTGGCCTGTGGCTGATTCTTAGCGTAGCGGCTTAGTTGCGGGTTTTGAACCCCCAACTCGCAGCCACAATCTTGGCGATCGCAGTCTATCGGCCACCACAAGCTGGTGATGAAAATAGCAAAGAGATGAAATTGCTACGATAATTAGTTGGATTCCAATTATAATCTCGGCGTCATGTGTCAGGTAAATAGGTTGGAAACAGAGACATTATGATGAGTGAAATATATATCGCTTGCGATATATATTTCGCTTGCGATATATATATGTATACAATAAAATTAACTTTCGATGAAGTGACTAAATCTTCAATGAATTTGAGTTACGACGGTGATAAAAAACTTGACTTTGGTCATAATCGATACCCAAACCTCTGAGATAACTTACGGCATTTCCTTTGCTTGGCATATTAAAAAAATTTTCCTGTTCCAATATGCATGCACTTCAACATAAGAGTTCATTCGCATCATTATTCATTATCAACTGTTAAATTAATTAAAATTTCAATCACACTTTGTAGGTAATTTATATAAAATCTCTTCGTCCTTCCAATATCGGCTCTTTTTCGCGCATGCGTCGTATGCAAAAACCAAGGAAATTTTTAAATTTCTGCCACGATGAAGGCGACGAACATTCGGAGAAATTGCCTCCTGGCCGTCGGGATATTTACGGCGTGCAGATCGCGCCATGATTCACAGTCCACTAGGCTTGTACTTACGACGTATTTCTTTGCATTTTCTTGTGATTTGAGTGCCTTGAGAGTAGGAAATTTACGACCGGGCCGAACAAACTAGGTCTCTTGCCGCTTTCCAGACCATGACATGGCTATTCCCACAAAAAATACGTTATCAGTAATATTTCTTATCAGTATTATTTCGGTATAGTCTTAGTTTCCCAAATTTTCTTTAACACTGAGAGTTCTTGTTGAACGAAATTGCGTTTTATGAATTATCGTGGATTCAGAGATGAATCAACAGCACCGCTGAACTTAAATTGTTTTATTACTTAATCGAAGAAATGCTGCCGTATGGTAATGAGCACCTCGAAATCTCCCATTACCTTATCCCCTTTACAAATTTTTTCATTTTTATACTTTTTGGTTAATTGTAAGCAAATTCATGTTTCGAAGTAGCATGAGCCTCAGCGCCATTTTTTTTGGAGAAATTCAATGCAAATTAATTGCCGTCCGAATGATCTGGAAATATTTATTTCTTTTTTTTTGCAACAAAAATTTACGCATTTTTCAAAAATCTTGCTTTTGGTCAATGGTTGTCACCAAAACCCACGCATTTAAGATCGAGACATCAGGTATCTAAATTGAAGTAATTATTCATAGAAGTAGGTATAATTATATTTCGGTGTTCAGGTGGAGACAAAAGATGCTTTGCTCCACGCCATCAACGAGGAGTATGTGGAGGCCGTGGAGGTGCTTCTGGAGCAAGAGGAGCAAGTCCACAAGCCTGGAGAGCCCCACGTATGTATAAAATATTGTTTAGGGAAAGTTGGTGAAATATCGATTGCAAGATTTGATCATCACAGACACGAAAGCGAGCTAAGAAAAACGTGGTAATAAAATGAAATGAAGTCAGAAATTTGGAAGCAATCTTTCTTTCTACTCTTGACTAAAAACCGAGTAAGAGGCAACAAATTATTCTTTTAATACGACTATAGTCATTTGTCAATTAGTCATTATTATTTCTTCTGTTAGTATTACTTCCATTATTATTGTTTTTATTAATTATTATGAATTTCGTTTATTTTCCATTTAATCATCAATCTAAGATAGTGTTTGAAATATGTATTACAGCCAAGGCGACCCATCACCTACCATTCCGTGAAGAGCTCTATAGTGATGTAAGGCAGGGAGTGATGTTACATACTGACTAAAGTTCGAACATTCGATGGAGATAATGTTTCTGAAGTTGGGGATAACAGCTAAAGAATGAGTTGCTGGAACTTTATTGAAGCTTTCATGGCAGCGTCATTCCTTGCCAGTGGAGCTTGATAGATTCATCTTACTGCAAATATTAGGGCGTATACTGTTAATAAAGTTGATGAGCTTTTAATGTGGGAATTTCATTCTTAATCAGATTCCAACTTTCTGTTGATTTTGTATTTTTATGATCATGAATAAACTTTAGTAATACTAATGAGTAGCAGTAAATTGAATACTATTAACTTTTATGAATGAATTTTAATACTTGCATTGGTGGATTTATTTACAATATAGTTAAAAGTAACTTCTAATTCCTTTCGCGAATCAAATTTTCCTTTTTCGACGAACGTCATCCACGGTGAGTGGCATGTGCATCTTAAGGCAGAGGCTCCCTTGCCATGAAATTGTTATACCATTAGTGTCTGTTAGTGCATGCAACTTCTCGTTGAAAAATTAATATTATGCGCGAACGTGTTTTCTAATAAGATCATAGCCGCTCTCAAAACAACCTGGAATCAGCTATAAAAAGTCGATGCGAGTTGCAACTAATTAGCTTTTGATATACTCGTTATTATATGATAAACTATCTCCCATTCGATACAATTATTTTGTTTTTTTTTTTACTATTCAATTGACATTTTTTTGACAAAGCAATAAATTGCCTGGACGCTAAACGAATGTAAATTTTGTGCATGGTGAGCAAATATAGCGGCCGTTTATTTCTATTGCCTGGCGTGCTGAAAGACTTTCGGCTTTGAATTCAGCAATTTTCCAGATTTAAAAGTAAATGAAGTGCCGTGTCAGAGAGTCACTTATGCCCAGTCACGCACACAGCGTAATTTTTTCTCAGCAACTACTCCGAAGAAGTTGAAGAATGGCAATGTACAATACCTAAACTGAATGTTTTTATACAGAAACGTTATTATATTTTTTCTCGGTACGTTTCGGTGCTTCGCTTGTAGAATTCATCCAAACCCCTAAGTATTTTGAGAACTATCTTCAAATTTCAAGTTTCCACTTTGAGTTGATTGTACATTGGAGGAAGTAAGATGATCAAAATGGCTAACATCCGCCTCTATGGCAGTCGAAAAGACCCTCGAGATAATTGTTGAGGTATTAACTGCTAGGAAATGATATCGGGCAACATTAGAGGGCCAACTTAATTGACAAGAAGGCGATTTTTCTCTCTCACTTAACCCCTTGTTCATCAAACTCGCGGATAAATGAAATGCCGGTGATAAATTATCTCGTATTCCTTAAGTTAAGTCTTTGCTCCAATTGCCCAGCATGTGATATGATTTTCAGTAATATTTTACTTATTCAGTTTTTAATGTCTATATTCAATATTTCTATTTCCCTGCTTTATGTGTTAACAAAGCGATCGATAATTTCTAATGGATTCGATGCTCATGATGATCATTGCCTGCTGGATCTTTAAATTTCTCTTAAGATCTTTACTTCAAACTTACTCTACACTAATAACTAACCGGCACACCCGTTGTTTTGCCTGCTATGAACAACGCATGTTATTTTTTTCCCCCTCTGATGTTTTGTGTTTCGGTCTTGTGCAGAAATATCCTAATAGGTGTAATGAATGTGTTCTTGAGCCTCGACCGCCATTGCCACCTGACCAGGTGAGATCACATAGCAGGCAACTTATTAGCTTGTTCGTCCTGCGTGTCTCTTCTGCTTATTTCCTAAATTTTGTTTCCCATTAAACGAGAAATCCCAGAATTGTTTATATTTATTACATTCTTTATACGGTCACAATTTTTTATTGAGCATGTTTGTTTTTTTATTATTCCGTGGGCTTTATTACATTTTTTCTTTCATTGAGATATCGACAATTGCTAGAGTCTAATGATGGATGCGCGAGCTTGTAAACCAGATAAGTAATCTGGTGTATAATCTTGGATATAATTAAGTAAGTCTTTGTTCAAAAATGACGCACTTTTATGCGCGTGTGGGTGGACCTGACCCAATTTGGAAAACTACCAAAAATTGTGATTGTGTAACGTGCTACATGGAAGATAATTTCTAGTTGCACAATATTAATTTTCTCACTAGAAATAATCAGAAACCTTACAAAGCTTAAATTTTTCACCTCATTTGGGGTAAATTTGCATTCAATATTTTTGGCATTCTTAGGGTAACTTCACTATTAATTATGTGTGACATAACATTAAAATGTTCAATATTGTAGACTATAATGTATACTAATACTTTCAACTATTAGGTGCATGTGCAAATGTTGAAGTCGCAATTTCTCTGTTGGTACATTGACTAGGCGAATAATTACTGAACAATATCACAATGTGCTGCCATAATTGTCAGGGAAACATATTTTTTGTTGTAAGGACCTAAAGAAATATCATGGGTCTGAGCCAGCGTTTTAGGTGTGAGAACAAACATGATGCAACGCCGAGGTGACAGCCGCGGGTAACACTCCACCAACTAACAGCAGTGCTGTTAGTCGGTGCAAACAAGGCCTCAATTAATGTGATTAATGAGAAGACGAGACTAGCCTTGTGAGAGCGATTGATGTAACGAGCTTATCAATGTGAAAGAGAATGATATTGTTAGCTTATCATCACGATGAAGAGGGATGAGATAAACTCTGTAAGCATTTACGCTTCTATGTAACGAGAGAAGTTGATGGTCCACTTAGAAATTATATCATCCTTTCTTCTGCAAAGCAAGACATTTTTAGTCAGTATTTAGCGAAGTTTTCTAAGTGAGAGTTTCAGGGAATTTTATATCTTTATCATTGATATTGCTCAATTAAATAGCTGATTTTTCTCGAACAAAAAACAAATGTAAAAGCTGACTCAAAGTAAGCCATATCGTTCTAGCAGTTTAATCATAAAATTCATGTTTAAAATATGTCTTGATCAAACAAACTTGAAATTTCCTGCATGCGAAACGTCCGCAGAAATGTTGAATATGAACCTATGTAAAATCCTCGATGTCAGCTCGCTGCCAACTTTTTCAACTACGATGAAAAAATGCAAGATCTAACTTCCCAAGCTATTCTTCATATTCAAATATGCTCTGGCAACCGTGAAATTCACTTTGACAATAAAAATCGAAGATAAGAAAGACGAGAAGAGAGACACTTCCCAAAAAAGCCGCAAGAGACCAGATTTCTGAAGTTGGCGGATGTCTCTTCATTCTATTTTACTAATCTTTAATTATTTTACGGGGCAAAAGATTTTAATAATTAAAAGGATTTCATTGGCAATTTCGCGTTGATGCCACCGGGTACAGGGTTTATGAGGTGCTTATGAAATTCAACTAAGTGAAGTCCTAATAATTTAATTTGCTGCTCGTTTCAAATGCATTTTCGAACCTGGATTCACATATGCATGTCATATAACTACTCTCAGCCTATTGACATTGATTAATTTATTTTCCTTTTAAACATTACTCCCAAAAAATTATTTGACAACCACCACAAACTAATCAATTTTAAGACTTAAAAGTTCCAATACTCAGCCATGAATTTCTTATACAGGCATATCATAATATCAACATAAAATTAATATTTAAAAATGGGACGCATGACACCTGGACGGTTCCTTCTGAGGCCATTCCATAAAGAATAGTTAGGGATTCGTAACTTTATCAGCTAATCACTGACGGTTTTTTCAAGCTAAACACACCAATCACAGCCGAGAAATCGGCCGGTACGTGTATACTAAGGTCCCGACTTGTATACTTAGGTCTCAACGAGTGTACTTAGGTCGCGACGTGTATACTTAGGTCGCGACATGTACTTGATCCGACGTTTGTACTTATAGTTAGACCGCTATGTGCACTTGAACCGTTTCGTGCTCCTAGGCCACTAAGTGTACCTGAGCAAATTTTGATAGTACGTCTCTGGTTGTGTTGCAGAGTTGGGAAGCGATCCCTCCAGAGACCGCGACCTTCACCAGAGACATCACTCCTCTCATCCTGGCTGCTCACAGAGACAACTACGAGATCATCAAAATCCTGCTCGATCGTGGGGCTACTCTGCCCATGCCACACGACCTACGGTCAGGGAATTATTCGTCATTATTCAATATTTTGATACCGAACTTCTAAATATTTCATTGACGCTCTCCTGGTGGATCTTCAATATTTCAAAAAACATCTTCAATATTTTCAGAGCACCTATATACTCATTGTATATTTAATGCATGTTCAATATTTTATTAACGCTTTCTCATTGTACAAGCGGTTGTCAAAAACATTCCTTCAATGCTTTTTAATTCTACGGGGAGCATTTTTCAAACTTCAATTTCAATGCTTAAAGATTGCAAAATGTTTGCATTAAACATCCTAATTACAGTAACAGTAATAATACAAATTATATATTATGTATGTATACAATTGTATTGTACAATTATAAAGTACTTAATATGTATGTATACAATAATAATACAAATACATGACATAAGAAAAATTATAATTTGTCTAATGTCATGCGCAACGTGCGAGTTGAGCATGTCTGGCAGGTTCTAAAACTGTGCATTTTCATTGTGGGCGATTTCATTCTATATAACACGATCAAGTTATTGCTCTTGGCATCATAAATCAATTTCTGATACATATGTTGCTAGACACATTGCTTACCAAAACTGTAATCAAAAAGGACGGTTCTAGGCGGATACCATCAACGAGCTAGAATCTACTTATACAAGTTTCATCTTCAAAACGTTCTTAGTTTTTTATTTATTAACAAATTAAAAGGTTTACTTAATTCTGAAACACCCTGTATAATCTTATGCTGGAAAATTGTCGCGGCTAAGTAACAAAATAATTAAACTTAATTTATGCATTAAATTTTTGCACCAAAAGCGGTTCAATTGTTCTTTGGGGAACAAGGCAACATTGTCAGTGTAGCGTCCGTTTTCAGGCGATATTCTCTGGTCATATTGGGAGTCTCTCGAAGCTCTCGGCAAATGCTGACTCAGCTCTTTGGGCGAAACTGACCGTGTTGCTAACCTTCTTTACTATGTCGGTTAGTTGAATAAACGTGTGAAAGCTTTATATCTAACATCAGCTCGATGGTTCTTTAGAATTTGTCAGTATTGATAAACTCGTTCGGGCGCAAACTAAATTCAATTTATTTTGACTTGGAAACAAATACTTGTCCAAAAAATATTAGCACATGCACAATTCACTCGTTTAATTCACGAGTGAATTGTGTATTCACATTCACAATTCACTCGTTTAATTAAAAGCAGTTGTTTCGAGAATGCCTAGAGAATCCATTTGTCAACGTCGAAAACTTTGAAATTCGATTAAATTTTGGTGTGTCTGTTTACTGTGCACATGAGTAGGCATTTGGTTTTGCAATGTATAATCTTTTCTACGGAAGTTATTAGAACTTTTGTCTATTCACTTTACTCCGCTCCAAATGTCGACCGTTGTAAAAAATTTGGCTGTAAATCGCTTTATGTCATACATTGCATTGTACATCCCTTGATCAATAATTACTCAAACAATCAATTAGCTCCGTACACCTCCAGTTGCGGTTCATTCTGAGTTTCCATTATTAACAAATGCAATGAATGTCAATATCTAGAATAGATATTAGAATATTCTATGCACAGTTTTTGTAGAAGACGTAACCTATTCGTTATAGTTTAAATGTATTATTATCCTCCGTTTGTCGGTATTTAATATTGAATATAGGAATAGGATATTCAGTTTCCACGATCTTGCTCAAAAAATGAACCTAGTTCTATCAAATGCATCTAAAATTACGGTCTCATAATATCATGAACATTCCATCCTATTCTCTCCGTGCATGCCATGCACGAAGAATGTGCATGTCATGCATGAATGATTTTTACGACACGCATTGCTAATGGGAATAGCAGGCTAATTTACTGGTAAGCCATACAAGAAGCACAGGAAGCATATAGTTCCTCTTGTCGATATACCCGAAGACGGCATCAAAGTTCAGCGTCACTAAAGTCAAACACAGCAACATTGAAACTTTCAACTTGCATTATTTTGAATTATTCTACAGACAAATTCAAATGCTAATGAACGTTGAACAAGGAAACTTGTTTTGACCAGCCTCATCCTCCGAGGGCGGATGTTTGGATGCTTTAAATCAGTCGTTGCGAGAAGAAGGGGTCATTGAGCTCTTAAAATTTGGATGAGGTCCAACTTTGTTGAAAACCACGGGGGCTCGACCAGATGCCATAGAAATTCTCACAAACTAAAGGAAATGAGCGCTTAACTCGAACATGCCTTGTTCTTCGATGGCTTCAGAAGCTGTTTCCTGGCAAAACAGACGCTTCTCTTTTTTCCGACTTAGAAAACTCAAGAATAACAAAGAAATCTATTTGCCGATGATCCGTGGCATCCAATCAGCCCATACCGACTCATCCGGCTCAGATAGACGAAAGCAAAGTGATGAACCATTTTTCTCCTACTACGTAAAGTAATTTTCTGGATTCTGAGAAATTCGTCACTATCTCTCGCCATATTTTTTTCCGTTTAATATTGTAATTTCTGCCCAAAGTTTATCGATTAATTAATCCGTTATCCCTGACCTTATAGAGTTGAACGTGATACAAAGTCTTTATTTTAAGGCAATTCTGTGTTTTCGCCGCGGGCTCAACCCAAAAACGGTGAGTAAATTCAAACGTCATTACGAATTCCTTCAATGTTAACTCTTCTTCTCACCAGAATAACAAAAAGACTACATTTCTTCGCGCCAATGCAATCATGTCTCTCCCTAATCACGTTAAAGGCTTTCCGTGAACATTACTTTGCCCTAAGCCATTGACCCCTGGAGTGAGAATCGCTACCGTCGTGTGCGCAAACTACAATATGTGTTATCCTTCTGCTGCGAATTTTCCACTTTTTTAGTGACAGTGCTTAGGTAATGTCATGTGCTAAGAATTTGGGCTACTGACTCATCCTAGAACAGGCACAGGAACACAATGTTTTTAATTATGTTACCGTGTGTTTTAGAACTGATACAGGAACGCAATTTTTAATAATGTTACCGTGTGTTTTAGAACAGATACAGGAACACAATGTTTAATAATGTTACCGTGTGTTTTAGAACAGATACAGGAACACAATGTTTAATAATGTTGCCGTGTGGACAGGTGTGGGTGTGAGGACTGCGTTACGTCGCGTTTCAACGACTCGTTACGCCACAGCCGCAGCCGCATTAACGCATACCGCGCGCTGGCGTCACCGTCACTCATTGCGCTGTCGTCCAAAGACCCAATCCTGACAGCCTTTGAGCTCAGCTGGGAGCTCCGGAGGCTCTCCTTCATGGAGCATGAGTTCCGGAGTGAATACCAGGCGAGTATTGCGTGGAGCATGAGTTCCGGAGTGAATACCATGCGAGTATTGCGTGGAGAATGAGTTCCGGAGTGAATACCAGGCGAGTATTGCGTGGAGCATGAGTTCCGGAGTGAATACCAGGCGAGTATTGCATGGAGCATGAGTTCAGGAGTGAATACCAGGCGAGTATTGCGTGGAGCATGAGTTCAGGAGTGAATACCAGGCGAGTATTGCGCGGAGCATGAGTTCCGGGGTTAATTCGAGGAATGTATTGCTTGCAAATTGAAAAGTTTACCAATTTCATATATTCATATTAACAACTCTCGCTTAAGATCCTCTTAAACGAATTATATGACATCAAAATTATGATTTGTTCGACGAACAGTAAATTATTAATCAGTTGTCATTAATTTGCCTATAAAATATTTGATTGGAAAAACATTCCGAAATTACCGTGGCAGTTGCGACATTTTTTACCTCGAGTAAAAGGCTTATGAACGTTATGTTATATCCTGCAAACATTTTTAGCGATTTAGTAAAACATTATTCCTTAACACATCACCCCTTAAACTCTTTAATTATTTCTAGTGAATTAATTTCTTGCTAATAAATTTCATTTTGCCCTTACGAAAATTAACAGGGCATATGCATGACGCACAACGCATGTGGCGCAGGAGACAAAATATCCATGTTCATTTTGGATATATAGTAATTTTTAAAATTTATTCATTGATAAAACTTATAAATTGGGATAATTTTCCTGTTGAATTAATTAATTTTATTTACAGGAGCTGCGGAAGCAATGCCAGAACTTCGCGACGGCGCTGCTGGACCACACGCGTACTTCCTTCGAGCTCGAGGTGCTGCTGAACCACGACCCTGCGGGCCCGCCTCACGAGCACGGCGGGCGTATGAACCTCAACAGGCTCAAGCTCGCCATCAAACTTAAGCAGAAGAAGGTAGTTAATTGCTCTTATTTTAATTAGCGAACTATTTAAAATAATAGGAAGTAGTGTAAGATAATCGTGCTCGCCATCAATTTAAGCAGAAGAAGGTACTTAATTGCTCTTATTTTAATAAACGAACTATTTGAAAATAATAGGTAGTAGTGTAAGGTGATCCAGCTCGCCATCAAACTTAAGCAGAAGGTATTTAATTGCTCTTATTTTGATCAACGGACTATTAAAAATAATAGGAAGTAGTGTAAGGTAATCGAGCTCACCATCAAGCTTAAATAGAAGAAGGGATTTAATTGCTCTTAATTTGATTATAGAAGAATTAACGAGACCGGCAAAAATGTTGCAGTCTTTTATATTCCCTCAAGCTCCTCAAAAAGCTCAAGCAGGAGAAGTTATTTATGATTCAGGTAATTGCAATCAAACTGTAATCGTAGGTTATCAAATCAAAATTGTAGGTAATCACAATCATTAAAGATTTACACTTATATATAAAAATATAAGTCTGTAATTCAAACCAGATATAAGGGATGGAGTGCGATGTCTGATGTTTCTGACTAAAAGCTAAAGATTTTTTGTGCTCATTCTAAAACTTCAATATCCAGGAAAATAGTACGAATACCATGTCTAATATTTTTTGTTCTTTGATTCGAGCAGGAAATGCATCATAAGTTCAGAATTTTAAAGTTTAGAACGATAGGAATACAATATGCATATTTAGTATTGAGGACGTTGCTACTTGATTTTAATTTTTGTTTATTTTCTTGTTCTAAATAACAAAGAAAACGCTAATGTACAATGTTTCTTCTGCTATGTTAGAAACTGGGACTTTATTTATTCAACCCCAACTAAAGAAAAATTGTTAATTTTTAAAAAGAGGATAATTATAGATGTTGAAATGATAAAAAAGGATAATTTTAGCATCAATTTCAACATAGCTTCCATATTCTTGATGTTCGAAGGCAGCTTCAGTGAAATTATATGATTCTACCCGTCGACACCACGAGAAGAATAACATAGAAACAGCAAGAAAAAAAAATAATAGAAAAAAAATTTGCTGATCTTGATAGAAGAAAAATAATTTTGAAGCAAGAATTAATTAATTAAAAAGGTTTGGACCGACCTGCCTTCGCAGCAAATATTTGAGTCTTTCGGGGCCAGTGGCGAATAATACTTGCGTGGCCGACTGCCCGTGACGATCCTCCTTTCTTGATAACATTTTTTTTTGTGTGGACATTTGTAGTTTGATAATAGTTGTTCTCTTTAGTTTTCCGCTAAAGAGTAAATTTTTGCGACGGTCTTTGTAAAATTGCATAAAAACTTATTGAGTTACTATTTAGGTCATACATTTATAATTTCATTTGAAATTTTTTTCGGAGTAATTTGTTCTAAAATAATGAGACTGGCATGAGTATATCTCTACGATATATTGCTTTCCATCTTTGATCCAATTAACATCCATTTAGCAATCATTGTTCTTAAAAAATGTTCTGTTTGTGTAGTTCGTGGCGCATCCTAACGTCCAGCAGCTACTGGCATCCATCTGGTATGAAGGACTGCCAGGATTCAGAAGAAAAAACATGGTCCTGCAAGCTCTGGAAATTGTTAAAATAGGGTTTCTGTTTCCTATTTTTGCGATTGTCTACATCCTAGCCCCACACACGTCGATTGGTCAGACGATGAGAAAACCCTTCATAAAGTTCATCTGTCATTCGACTTCTTACTTCACTTTCTTGGGTAAGCCACTTAGCTCCTGAGGTTTTATGTAACATTTTATCTCTAGATTTTTGAAAATTTATTTCCTATGTATTTTTTGATTAGGACGTATTTTCTTGGACTTTATCCTAAATTTGAAGAAAGCGATTATGCATTAATAATTATGCTATCAGATTGGGCGATGCTACATTTAGAAAATTAGTAGTTTATAATCGTTGCAAATAAACAATAAACGGATTTACGGATTTTCACTGTAATTTTGAATAACTTTTTGCTGGTGATAAGGCAAAAATCAAGCTGATCCTGGCACCGCAGTGCATCAAAACAGAATGTTGTATAAACTAGCATTTTTTTGAAACGTATCAAACTATTCTAAACTAATGTAATCAAAACTGTAATAAACAAATTAGTTGCTTTTGTTTCCCTGAAGTGCTGCTGATCCTGGCGTCGCAGCGCATAGAGACAGAGCTTGTGAACACCCTCATGCCGAGCCTTAAGAAGTTCGTTGCGACCGACGTGACAAGACGAGGGTCTCCGCCCAGCCTCATCGAGTGGCTCATACTGGCTTGGGTGTCCGGTAATTGAATTATTAAAACATCATTGTTCGTCTGGCTCTTGGATAAAACCTTTTTAATATTTTATAATTATATTGTTCCATGTTTTACAGAAGACCAGATTTTGTGATGGTGTTTTATTGTGAAATACCTTAAGACTTTGTTGTCCCAGTTTGCGGCCAGGGTCTGAGTTTCAGGGCGGATACTGATTGATACTTTCTCTAGTCTAAAAGTTTATTGAGCTTTGAAATGAAGAAAAAGTTCATGTGGATATTTCCTAAATCCTTGCTTGATTGCCAGGCCTGATACGAGTGGATAATCCTTATTTATTTTCTAGGCCTGATATGGTCCGAGATCAAGCAGTTGTGGGACGTGGGCCTGAGGGAGTACGTAGGCGACATGTGGAACGTCATCGACTTCATCACGAACGCGTTGTATGTCGCCACGGTGGCACTCAGGATAGTCTCTTTTTATCAGGTATTTCAAATTAATACATTGTGATGTTATTCACTAATCCTTCTATTTTGCATTGTTTTCTTTGCATTTGGACACCAAAAGTAGCATCCATTCCATCTTCATGAATTAAAAACAGTGTGATTACAGTGTGAACAGTGATTCTTTCCTATATAAAAAATATTTAGGAAAGAATCGTTTACAGTTATTCATTTGTTTACTGGTAAAATTAAATGGTTGTGATAAAATTGAATTCACTGCGCTAAAATTTAATTACTTGTGATAAAATTTTATTACTTGAATCTAAAGAGATACACTGAAGGATTAAACAGCATATTCTGTTTGCAGGTTGAGCGAGAACAGGCTGCTCACGTGGTACAGTCTAACAGCCTGTCCCGAGACCAATGGGACACGTGGGACCCAATGCTCATCGCTGAAGGACTTTTTGCCGCAGCCAATATCTTCAGGTAAAAGTTATATTGAGCCCCTAAAATTGTTTCCTAATACAGTATAAATGTTGCGATCACTGGGACCCAAAGCTCATCCCTGAGGGACTTTTTACAGCACTTAATATTTTCTTGTAGCGGTTACTCTGATATCCTCCTATAATATTCCCTAAACTTTTATAAAGAATTGCGACCAATAAGACACCGGGACCGGATGCTCATGCCAAGTGACTTTTTGCAGCAGCCAATATCTTCAGATTGAAGATCATTATTTTTTTCGACTCTGATTAAAACTCTGGTGCTGCATAAAATATCGCTATAAAAAGGTGAATGATTGTTTTATTCATGTTTATTATCCCCTTGTGTGTACATAACTGAGCGATGAGAAATGTAAATTACAGTGAAGAATATTAGGAACGCTAGAATGAAATGAATCACATTGATGAATGTTTAAGGAAACACCACTGTTATGGAATATAAAAAGCTGTATTCAATTATGGAGAGAATATGGGGAAAATATGCACCGTTGGAAATTAATCATGCAAATTAAATAATCGATTTTGATATTTTATCAGAGAAGTATTTTCTGCATTGAATTTTTCTGCATTGAAATTTATATTAAGCACAATATTGGAAAAAATTGAGTCATAAACGTATTTCTCATCACTGAATAGAAAATATTATCTTTCTTTTAGGAGACATAAATTAAAAAATTCGAAATAATTAGCTTCATTGGAAAATTTCTCGCTAAAACCATTCTTTTTATTGCAGTTCGCTGAAGCTCGTGTATATCTTCAGCGTGAACCCCTACCTCGGTCCGCTGCAGGTCTCCCTGTCCAGGATGGTCGTGGACATCCTCAAGTTCGCCTTCTTGTACCTGCTCACTCTCTTCGCTTTCTCTTGCGGTGAACTAACTTATCTTCAACAGCCGCTCAAATTACGATGATGCAATCATGCAGAATATATGAAGACTCTGACCTATCGCCCAATTTGCAGAAAATCGTGCAATCGTGCAGACAATATGACCGATTAAGAATTTAATTTTAAAGAGACGTATTGGTTACGGATAAAAAACTTTTATGTGTACAAGATCAAGGTTATAAGGTCGTTTCGCACTGTCGAAAAGTTTGAATACGACTGAGTCAAAGATGCAAGAATTTCGTCATATTGCGATGAGGGTGACGATATGAGAATTAAACAATAATGCTCCTGCTGTTATTCTGCGAAGAAATATAAATAACATTATATTGATAGTTTCCTGCTCAACAGGCATGAACCAGCTCTTGTGGTTCTACGCGGACTTGGAGCGAACTGACTGCGAGAATTTGACACATCTCGGGGCGACAACTCTGGGCGACAACATCACGGCGCTCGCTAATGGTTCTGAACCTGAACGCGACTACTGCGTCGTTAAGAGATGGCGTCGCTTCTCCAAGTAATCAAAAATAAAAACTATTCATTATTCTAAATCATCAGGAAACGTAATTTTATTTCAAGCTTTAATTTTCAATTGTTGATGAGATAATCCTCAGGACTCACACCTCCCGAAACATTTTGCAATGCACAAATTTTTTCCGGAGTAGTGACCTGATGACTGGACTGATGAAGGAGAGACACATTGTCAAACGAACTACTTATGAATCATTCATATTATTTAACTTAGTTTTTTGGCTATTTCTGCATCGGAGGCAGTTTTTATATGAAATGCCCGCATATTTAATAGACAAACTAAAAATGTTGTTCAATGCAATGATGGCCATCGTGAGCATCAGAGTTAAAGCGCGAGGTCGCATATTGTTGAAGAAATGATTTGGTCAAAACCAAACAATCAATGGTGATTGTTTGGTTTACAACATCACGAATTTGATCTACTATCAACAATCATTTTTTCTTATATTTATCTTTGATGAAAAATATTCAATGAATACTTCAGCCGTACAATGACTAGTATAAGTATTAGATATCTTATCTCAATTTTAGTAGCACTATATATATTAGTGCTTCAAATGTTTAACTAATATCAAATTTTTTTAATAATATCTGCATTAAATAAACAGAATTGCAGCGCCCGTGAATTTATGCCTAGTTCTTAATTCAAAATCTTAATGCTGTTTTTATCTATACTATGATTGATAAGTTGACGCTGATAGAACTGCTTGTTATGATCTTTAGTACCTAGACATGACATGTATTCCAATTATTATACTCTAATTATTAGTTATTTTGCTGCTGTTGTTACTCGTGAATATCTATTTAAACAGTCGTACAGTCACGGTACTAGATATCAATGAATTTTATTAATATTTTGGTATTGTTGAACTTCTATTGATGATCTCACTACACCGAAAGTATATCTTTCGTAATAATTTTCTTATACTGAAGTCTGTCTTTTGTTTCAGCTTGTTCGAGACTCTGCAGACGCTATTTTGGGCGGCGTTCGGCCTGATCGACCTGACCAGCTTCGACTTAAAGGGAATCAAATACTTCACAAGATTTTGGGGGATGTTTATGTTCGGGACATACTCGGTCATAAACGTCATAGTTCTTCTTAATCTTTTGATAGCAATGATGAACCATTCCTACCAACTGGTCTCAGTAAGTTCTGTAAGTGTAAATGATCCAAAACAGTAAGTTTTGTGGCACTAAACCGGTGTGAGGCTTCACTAAGGATACCGTCTGCTCCTTGTTTGCTTCTCAGTTCGGCGAATTTCGGCACTAAATAAAAGTGTTTGTATATTAACAAATTGAGTGAACGTTAACTTGTTTTACGCAAGTATTTATGTGGATTTTTAAAACTGTTGTCACTGAAATTGTGATGCTTCAATTGGGAATTTTTAATTAATAAGCTGTTGAATGTAGATTTGACATTATATTATCCAACAGAAATCTTCATTAAACAAAAAAATGTACAGTCATTCAGGAATTCAGCCATTTGAATTTCATACTCAATTTCTTGATAAGCACATTTCAAGGCATATGTTGCCCCTCAATAATGGCTGAGTGCAGAAATCTTTATTGATTATCGGTACTAGAAATTCATGTTTCTCACCCCTTACTAGAGTTACTCTGAATCTTGGTGGTCGAAAAAGACAAGATGAGTCTCTTTTGAATCCTCATGCCGCTTGTCACTTATATTCACTTCAGTTGTCGTTTTTATATTCATCTGTAATGAATGTGCGTCGTGTGTAAGTTATGTGTGTAATGGGTCCAAGTATTGCCTGTTATTTGAAGTACTCGTAAAAATCTGAGTAAATTTAAACTCTCTAGTGCATTTCATTAAAATTAAAATAAAAATCTATCCGAGGATAAAATTTTGATGCTAAAATGCAAAAATTAAATAATTTTATTACACTTAGTTGAAATGACTCGTAAAATATTGATAAAACATTAATAAGAAGGAGATTTTTCGTGTTTCATTCTTATGTTTCAGTTATTTATAACCGATTTAGATGTTAAAAAGATAATGAGCTAAATATTAGCTATCTATATCCAAGACTTCATGTTCCTTTAAATTCCTTGATTGCTATTGTTTCTTTTCTCTCCAATTCTACCCTCCTTTATGTAGTTGCATGTCATGGTATTAATTTCAGTATTGTCTATAGTATTCATAATTTTCATCACTTATTTATTTACCGAATACTCTTAAAAAATTTTGACGTTCCCCAGAAGCTAGAAAAGTGCGTATAAATATCAAAACCATTTAATTAATTTCGTATTATATTTAGATTGATACTGTTTTGTATGATAGCTTTGTGATTCCCTCATTTTATGCATGCATATTTAAAAATTCTCAAATGACCTCTAAAAATCAGTTTCTTCCACCAATACGGAGGAAAATATAAAAATGTCGACTTTTTATGATTAGTAAGTACAATAAAAAACTTATGATTATATCAATTCGTAATTTACGCATGCTGTTGTAACCTTAATTCATATGAAAGGTTTGCTTTATTTGGTTCACAGAATTTACACCTTATACATTTTAGGTAAATTGTAGCAGTAGTCCTAACAAGAAAATCTTGTTATAAAATTATAGGTTCTTTTTTTCTTTTGGTATTAAGGAGGTATCATTTGGTAGTAAATCAAGTTGGACAACTTTAGCATCTCTTTCATGATAAATATTTTGACCGGTTTCGGAATGCTTATTTCTGACTTTTTATCAACAAACTGAAAACACGTTTTGTTCTTCTCTCTAAGCAGGGCAAACACGGCTTTAAGGTAAACCTGAGTGCTTCCTACCTCAACGCATTTATGGCCGTGGCGATGCCACTGCTTTCAATGAAATGGAAATTTTTGAGTAGAGTAGAAGCTGCTGCCGCTTTTTTCCTCGCCGAACGGGGTTTCAATTTCAGGATTTCGATGGCCGAGTGCGCAGAGCGGGACGACAAGGACATTTTCTCATTCTTTCGACCGGGACTTATCATACTAATAAAATAACTCATTTATTGATTTGTAATTTAGAAACGACTAATATTTGTTGAGATAAAAGTTCTCTAGAAATTTTACTTAAGACGCATAACTCAATATTTTTCAGCATATTTTATTTAAATATGAACATTGGTGATATTAGAGACAGATTAATCTTTTAAGTATCCGTCGGACTTCTTTTTTTCTCTAGAATATCGATCGATCAGCTACAACTTTAGAATTATATTGCGTTAATGATAAGGTTCAATAGATTTGATTCCATTTGAAATCTAAACCATCCAGAACATGTGTCAATAGAAACAGCCTATTTTAATCGCGAACGTCATGGGATCCGATACAAGAAGAAGCTCCGATTACTTTGTGTGAGGTTATGTTGGTGTATAAATTATGTCTCATTCCAAAGAGTAAAGGCCTAGGATTGCAAAAACCTTGAGTAAACTAATATTTTCGTCGCTAAATGACTAATGAGAAATATCTTACGACTCAAACAATTATGCTACATGTTTGTAGTGACAAGCCGCTTCTTCTGCCGACTTTATTTTTTTCCTTATCATCCTGCCTCAACGTTCACATGAATTTATCTCACCTTCACATAATTCTTTTATAGATACTTTATCGTGTAATGTTTAGACGAATATTCATTCAGCGTGGAGAATCAGCTTTTAAGTGTGACGATTTTTTCCAATGTGTAAATATATGTCCCCGATATTACCGATGACAATTATTCGGCTTGAATACGCATGCATATTTTTGTGTAGAAGTAGTGGAATGTGTGGTAATTAATTTTTCTGAAACTGTATTTTATGTGAAATATTTCTGGTGTATACTTTTTCATATTTTCGGCTCAATGTCGCATATTCTGTATTTTATAAAAGTTAGACCATATGCGATTAGTATTAACGGCCACCTAAATTATGGATTTATCATAATGGCAATATTTCGAATTTTTAATATATTTTCAATTACTTTCAACAGTAAAAATAAGTTAGATGAAAGGTAAAGAAAATTTACTACCGTTCATTTTTGCTGTGATTTTTTACTTTTTGATAACTGCGGTAAAATTCTATTTCTCTAAATTCCCATCTAAGGTGTCCCAACACCAAGCCAAAAAAAGCAAAGGGATATCCATTTTGCAATAAAATTTTGGGATAAAAACTGAAATGAAGTTGCTTATTTTTGATTCGACGCAGATTTATTTCGTATGTCTGAGTTTAATTGATTGATTTTAGGCATTGTGATCGCATTAATTTTGAACTGCAAGGTGTTTAGAAAATAATTTAAGCTGAAGTATTTAACTGACATTACACACCCCTAATCATTGATGATATTCTACTAAACATAAACTATACATGAAAATCGTTCCTTTATAATGTACACCGTTCCAGGAACGCGCGGACGTCGAGTGGAAGTTTGCCAGAAGCAAACTCTGGATCAGTTATTTTGAAGAAGGCGAAACTTGCCCGCCGCCGTTCAATATCATCATTGCTCCAAAAAGTGTTTACTACTTTTTCAGGTATTCATCACTTGACATTTCGCTCAGTTATTCTAAAAAAATTCATATAGTCGCGTACGAGCTATTTTCGTGCTTATATTTAGGTTGAAATGCCTGGCAAAATACGGAGAAAAACTGGTTTAAAAATGTTTTCGATGGATTTTTTCTGTTGGCAAATTAATGTTGGTAAAGTTATTGACCAGCAAATAGTTGAATTTAAATTTATATAACTGAAAATAAAAAACCCTGTCATGCATTTCCTCACGTTTTTCTACAAGCCATTTATTTCTAACATTTAAAAAAATAGCGCCGAAGGTACATAATGGAAGGTAAATATTTTTGGATCAGGTACAGTTAGTTTTTTTTTCAGGTGGTTCCACAGGAAATTCTGCCGCAGGACGAAAGCTGCAAAGAAGGAACACATGAAAACTATTCGGGTAAATATTTTTTTTGTCAAATCTGAAAATTAACGAAGTTGGTTGAGTCAGAATGAACAATGGGTCACTTCACAATAGAAGGCATGAGTATCCAAATAACTTCACTTTACATCTCGCTTATCTTTAATGTTAAAATGTGCAAAAGTGTCACTGTTTTCAACTGTGATTATTTTTTTGTGTTTTTCTCATTGCAGAGGAAGGCTAAGCAAGCAAGTGAGAGAGAGCTGCGTTACCAGGTGAACCTTTTTTGGAACTGTCTTTTTCCTTCATGAATTTAATATTAAAAATTTTGCCTTCAATTTTAATATCATTCGAAAATTGTTCATAATTTCAATTTCCATTACAATAACTAGTCTTAATGTTTTAAGAAGCGTAAAGAACATGGAAAGAGCCCGTGGGATTCATGAGGAAACTGCATGCACTAGATTCATGCTTTATCGAGCGTGAATTGAATTATTAAATTTATTTTAATCGTTATTATAACGTACAATGATCAAGCAATCAAATTTTCAAAAAAAAAGGAATGTTATGACTGAAATTGAAAAATTTGGTGTAAAAAGCAAGCTGACGTAAACACGACAGGGTTAAACAGTTAACAGCCTCATTGTGGTCGAAATATCTTTTTATTGGGATAACAACAATTCATGATTTGCCATCCAATAGTTGGTCTTGATCATTACACTTTTACTTTTCTTGGAATGAACTTGAGTCATTAAGATATCATTATGCACGAGTAGCATAGAATTTTGGTTCGTTATCGATTTCATGAAAACGATAACGAACGATGATGTGTTAACGATAACGAATGGTAACGAATTTGATGAAAACGATTTGGTACGTCATCGATTTGATTTTTTAATCACGCTCTGAGTTCTGCTGTAAATGAAAACTTAGATTTAAATGCTTGTTTAATTTTTGCACAAGTTACCAACGTTTGTGCAGAGCATCATGCGTAACTTGGTACGTCGCTACGTTACCGTGGAGCAGAGGAAGGCGGAGAATCAAGGCGTCACAGAAGACGACGTTAACGAAATAAAGCAGGATATTTCGGCCTTCAGATGCGAGCTCGTTGAGATCCTCAAGGACTCTGGCATGAACACTTCGACCGCCAACACATCAGGGCAAGGTATTCGGCCACGAGGGAGTAAGTGCCATCATAAGAACTTTCAAGTTTTGGTATTTAAAGTAAATGCTTCTCTAAGCTCTGGTCTGTGGAAATGGTGGTGCCTCTCTCTGATTTATTTCCTGTAGAATAAAATGTGAATATATTTTGTAAGCAGGTACCACCATTATACTGTGACAGAGCGCTTCAATGTCGAAGCTATTAAAAATCATTGGCAAGCAAAGGTATGATGAAAACTGAATCTGTTGGTTCCCACTGATAATTAATTCGCCAATGATTTTTAATGACATTTGCTCATAGCTCTCTCAGTGTCACGCACTCTCCCGCACGCTTTAAAACGTCTCCAATGTATGGCACGATCTCCTTTAATATAAATGAAGTAAATGTGTATACTACATAAATCAAAGTACCCTATTATTTTTTTATTTTAATGCTACAATATAAACCATATATCATTAGATTATAAATGAATCCGCTTCGAAATATTTAAGGTGAGATAAATGATTTTTCTGGTGAATTGGTTCAATGTTACAAAAGAATTCACATCAACAGCTTCATAAATCTTCGCGCATATTTTGAACACCGTTTGATCCAATTCCAATTGTTAAATAGGAAAAAATTATAAAAAAATCTACGATCTTGACTACATGACAGACATTACTCGGTGATTATTCAATAATGAATTTGTATATTATATATGTAAAAAATTTTTCATTATCCCAGTGGCATTAAAAACAGCAGCTTCCTAAGCTCCCAAGCTTATACTATTGTACCATCTCTTCAATAAATAAATTTTTAAAACCATTTCGTTCAAATTCTAAAGTCATGCATGCCGTGAGAGTAGCCTCGTCCCTAATATTATCCCTCGCAATGCATGCAAAATAAATGTCAGTTTTTCCGTCAAAATATACAATAATTCAGTTTAATCCATTGTCACCATGAAAATGTTGAATGATTAATGCCTAAAGTGGAAGAAAGAACCTAAGATTATTTGTTATTTATTGATCCATTTAAACGTTCTAGTAGAGAGAAGTAAGTCTTTGCATGCACCTTAAACATATCAACGTTTATTTTAGTGATTTATTTAAAAAAATATATCCAGGAGACTTGAATTTAATTTTCAGAACAAAATAATTTTGTTGTGCATAATGCAATCGAAACAATTGCGAATTAATTTGATTTGGTCAGAATTTCATAGTTAACTCATAATTATGAGTTACTTTGCAACATTAGATAATTTAGGTTACAATTTAAAAGTTGTTTTACAATTTAAAAATTACTTTACAACACAAACTTCGCGCCAATTTGTTCTCCAGTGAATGTAATCAAAACACAAATCATCCTGTCTTGCAATCTATCTCACCAATGATTGCTACCTAATTTAATACTGTAAATTAATACCTTATTTAGGATTTGAACTACGAAAAGGAATGTATAGGCATTTTTCTATTGATAAGTGCACCGCTTGCGATGGTCGTCATGCGACCAGTTATTTTCGATTTTTGAAACATACCGACTCCCTTTCACGCCATAGAAATATTTACCTTTCACAAAAGTCAAGAAAATGAATTTTTTTTAATTTACTCCGAACTTGTCAATCTAGAAATGATTATTGGTATGTTATTGGTCCATGGCTATTTTCTTATATCTATCAATTATATAACAATCTGGAATGTGTATATGTCAAAAGTATACGGACTTTGCAACCAGTATTCGAGTAACTCACATATACAGTTGGTTGGTGATATATCGACAGCATGTTGAAGTGTCAAATTTTTTCTCGTACATCACATTAAACTTGAAATGGAAAATTATAATTTTTCATCTTCAATTTTGCTACTACCTACGTATGTTAGTTCCTCTAGAGTCTAGACAATAAAAGTAGTAGAGAAAAACATTTAATTTATAATATTGGTGATGATATTGGCCTCCAGAATTTCTGTCACTTTACAAAATAAAGTACAGATCTTTGCAGTGGTGAAGTTTTCTATTACAATATTCCGAAGAAAATGTTCTTTATTGGATGTACTAAATTAATTTAAAAATTGTAGCCAATTGATTGGGATAATTTACGTCAATTCGCATAATTTGAAAAATTATTTCATGGAATCCTTAATCAATTCCCGAACGATGCATGATCATCTTGAGGTGTTTTTTGCTGCTTAAGATGGTTTTCTTTTTTCGTATTATAAGTTTTCTTTATTTGCAATTTTTACAACGAAAAGAGAGCCCTACCGTGGCTCCCTCATAACTTCTCAAGTTTCAATTTTAGAAAATAATCAATCGTTTTAAAGAAGGCAGGAAATGCATCAAACAAGTTGACACTTTTAAAATCTATAAAGTGTAGAAATAAAATTTCATATCTCCCCAAGTTTTCTCAAATAAAAGAAAGTGTTGACTTCGAACTATTATGTGCCTAAGGAAAAATTTGCAACTTGCACTTCAACGTTTAGTGACTATTTTGGTTCCAGGTTCAGACGTGAAAAGGAACCGTCACAAGGAACGCCGCCTGATGAAAGGCTTCAATTTATTTATATTTCAAACAAATACCTTTAGATGCCTTAACATTCTAGGTTCCGGCGGGAAAAAGAATCGCCAGAAGGAACGTCGTCTGATGAAGGGCTTCAATATCGGGGTGGGTTCTCTCTCCAACCCTCTGGCCAACTCCGTAACAACGACGGGAACATCTTTGAATGAGGCAAGTCCAATACTGAAAATTTATTGCATCTAAAAGGTGTAAATCGAATTTTTTATACATCAATTAAAATTGTATCGTTGCACCGCTTCACTTATTTATAGCAATAATTATTTATTTATTGCCAAGTGAAGATTGTAAATGAATTTCTCCCCTAAAGAAAATTAGGTTCCCTAATTTTTAACTAATATGAAGTTTCTTGTGAAATTATTGAAAATCATCAATCAATAGATGCCATAACGTTTGTTCTAGAGAAAAATAAAAGTTTATTTGTCGTCACTATATGGTGGTTCGCTTATTCATATCTTTTCTGTGCATTAGCCGCTGATGTTGTTTATGAATATGCATTAGTAAGCAATTTAGTAGCTAAACATGCTTACTTAGCTTAGTGAGCGAATTGAATAGTGTTCTTATCCTGAATCTGTCATTTCGCGTAATATCGTTCACCATTTCATGCTATTTATTTTTTAATTTTCACGTACACGAATTTTTGTGGGGATGAACTGGGTTGTCATCGTATGGATAAATTGCTGATACTTTTGTAATTTCGAACGACAAAAATCAGTCATTTATGCAATATTAAGCCTGGAATAATCGAAATCATCTAAAGTTCTCCACATTTGTGACTTTTAATTTATATAAATTAATATATCCCCATGCGCCTATTGAAGCACGGCGCGCATGTAAATGATTTTTTAATAAAAGTAAGCAGTTTTTTCATTCAAAAATCTAACCGGTAATCTCAAAAGAGATCAAGTTTCATTGGCAAACATTTTACTTCAGTTTCAAGTAAATCTATGGAATTTTATTATGCCAAGTACTGTTTGAGTGATACTTTTACTTTAATTAATCCACATTATTGCTATCAGTTGGTTACCCAAAGTGATTAATGTATATTATTGGAATACACATTATCAACTTAATGAGGGGAAGACTGAACAATTTGTTGCTCATCTCACTACATTTATGTCTTTCCTTGCCTTACCCTAGCATTATTTCTTTAACAAAATTTCCCTTGACGATCATGTAGAAAATTTCATATCTATATTTCATAACATAAATTTCTTCTTCCATTTCCTCGTTTAGTATACCAGTGTATAATATTGTGTATTGTAGGTCATATTCTGTAATTCATTGTTTATTGTCTGAATCTCTTACAGAGTAAGCTCACATCACTGTAGGCTGTAAGTAGATTGGCTCACTGTTCATCGTAACTACAATTTGTTCTCATATATCTGTCCCTTCATCCTTTATCAAGAATGTACAATTTCCGAAACATTTCAGAATTAAAACTACCAGGACTCCGCTCAAAAATTTCAACGAAAAATAAACCTAAGTAGTAATTTCTAAATTCCATATACACTGCACCCAAAATTAAATGATAAACTGCGGAACCCTTTTCAAAATCCTGGATGAACTCACTTGTTTCCTCATTTTCCAAAAAGGCTACCATAATCGTATCCACGCCTAGCGCAATGCAACCTTTATACTATGTGTTGTGAATTTTGACCCTTGTAACCTATTTTACCTTATATACACTCCAGCATTTTGCAAGATGCTTCTCCAGCTCTCGAAAATAAATCGTATCTTCCGTAAACTCGTTCTCCCACAGCTTTAAATTGGCAGTGACTTTAGCACCTCCCGCTCATCTTCCATGTAGCTACGAGAATGGTTGTACCCTTTACCGATAATTTATTTTATATACTAATAACAAAGTTTAATCGGGAGTACGTAGCGTCGTGTAGCGGGTAATCTTTTCGTCTTTCGAACACACAATTCTTTCTAAATTTACTTCTCTGACGCACGATTATCATCTAATGAAAATTCCCAAAATCATGTTTGTATTGGGCATTTCGAGTCCTAATCCAGTTGTTGTTTGCATGTCAGCGTGGTTTCATTCATTATGTGTAGTATTTTTCTAGCAACGCTTCCTCGAGAAACGACAGCGTAAAGTCAATGGAAAAGTAGAGGAAAATGCATCTGAGATTAATTGGGAAACTAATGGTTTTCCAATTTACGGTCCACAGAAAGTATTCAAAATATAGTTTGATACTCAAGTTTTTTTTTAGCTGATCATAATTTGCCGGCTCCACTCATGGTCAAGTTTGGTCTAATTAAAAAATTATAAAAGTTAGCAAGGTACATCAATTTATCCGCTCACCATCTAACTTCAATTAAAAAATTAGACCTCTCGAGTAGCAATGCTGTAGAAGGTAACAAAAAATTAGGGACGCGTATTTACGAGATTTGCAATACAGGAACCCGTCGATACTATGAACGCGGCGGCCAGCAGCGTTGGGGCGGTCAGTCGGGCGCTGCAGCAGCGGTCGCCAGCAAGCAAGCTGGCAAGGCTTGCTAGGCTTGCAGAGTCTAAACTGGGGCGACCGAACAACAAGAAACGCTGGGGTACTCTCGTCGAGGCTGCCAAGAGCGCCAAAGTCACCAAAATGCTCTCCAAGTCTCGGTCGGATGAGTCCATGTCGTCGGGGAACGAGTGTGAACAAGAACAAGAGCCTCTGCAGGATGATGACCGCTCCCCAGATGATGGATTGAGTACTCATGGAGGTCAAGAAATGGAAAATCGCATTAGTGTTTCTGGGATTTTACGTCCAAATAATGGAACAGGCGGAGGTTTGTCTCTCGACCCCGCCGCTTTGGCAGCCAGACACTTGACAGAAAAATTTCGCACGAGACGACCACCGAAAACCAGCGTAAGTTTCGATGAGAACGCCCCAGGCAATGAAAACGCGAATACAAACCAGGAGTCGAGTTTGAACAATCTTGTTGAATCGGTGGACCATGTTCACCCAGCGGGCTGCTCATCATCTGTGGACAGCAGAAGTATTTCCCCGTCCCTTGTCGCCAGTGAATCTTGTGAACCCCTTATGCTATTCCAGAACCGCAGCATCGCCAATCAAAATGCCCCGCTAAATCGTTTAAGCCCCAGCAGCAGTGAACCTCCCTCGGACATTCCCTCCTCAGGCCGACCGGCGAACGGGTCACTGCAAGCCTCCCACCTACCAGGCGTACAGACCACCAACCAGCAGGTGGCGGGCGGGTGGCTCTGATCCCGTCGGACTGGGTCTCAGGTAACTCATTTCCCGTAATTTTTATCACTTAACTTATTAACACTATCGTGAATGAAATAACCAGAATTGATTAAATTATCTCTTGGTAACACTTACGTAATTTTTCGAGACGCGTTGGATCAATTATCGCAAGGCTGAAGGTTATTACCCCCTTCATCAGCATAGACATCTTGCATAGACTTGTTATCATCAACCTAATATGCTTTTTTTGGTCCTGAGTCCTTCTTCGGTTGCCTGTTTGCGGCTGATATGCAACACCTTTCATCCATGTTTGAATTTTAGACTAAAATATAAATTAAGTAGCATTTAATTGCAATTATTTCCTTTATTGCAGGACGAATGTACCGAAGACCCTCCTCGTCGTCTCATATGTAAATATCGTTCATCCCCCACCATCAGCCACACGGTCACCATCACCAGGTCCTACTCACATCTCTGATGATTCATATTTCACACAATGTCTTTTTCCATCAAGTTTTAGTTATACCCTCTTGAAGTATTACGAAAACTATGTATGTAAAAGCTCGATACGATACATTTTTCTTTTACTGGTTATTCGCTCACTGGCCTGTGTATTTTGACAGTTTCCTGAAACCAGGTTGTCGTTGCGAGATATATTCAAGTATGAACATTATAAGTACTTTTTGATAGATTTTTAACAAAGTTTGAGAACTCAACGTCGAGATAAACAAATTTTGAAAATTGAAGGTTTCTCTACCAAGTAATCCTCATACATGTCAAAAATATGTCAAAAGGGGAATTTCATTACCATCTGTTCAGTGATTTCCTTATCTACATGTTGAAAATTATTTTGTCTGATTTCTTTGGATTATTTGAAAACAATCTGATTCGTTCAACAGTAAATATGTGTTCCAAATTAGCTCATTTCCTTATGGGCAATATGAAACGCTTATAATTGATGGGTAGGAGTATATTGGAGCTCGACTAGGATATATATTTTGAGGAGGTGGATATATAAACGAGAATTTTGTTAAGATACTTTGTTGGATATTCGAACCAATTTTTGAATCTTTGTTTATAGTTTGTTAGATGAACCTTTTCAAGTAAGTATCTTAATCATTACTTGCATATCATTTGCATCAGAAATACTCCTTTGTTGATGATATTTTCTGGAAGAAAAGATTCAATTTAGATTGCTAACAATTATTTAAAAAATTTTGCCATCTATAGGGGTGCGAGCAATCTTCCGAGCTAATGCGATGCATTTCATAGCATCAAAAAAGTTTATAGAAAGAATGTGGCTGGAAAGTTACTAAATTCTGAACATTCTAAACATCCTTGTTCTAATAGTTACGCATAAAATAGCTTAATACTATCAGGTCAGGAACCACTGATGCTGAAAACTTTTAAATTCAAAGTTAATGCTAATGTAATAATTAACTTTCTACTAAGGTGGAAAGCTTTCGCACAAATATTTATTCACTTCTAGATTAATTTCTATTTTAGAATATAACATAAGAAACTGTTATTTTCCTCGATACATCTGCATTTCGTCTCAGGACCTATCTCCTTAACGAGACCGAGCATGAGTAAAAGGGATGATGCATGTTAACAGTTGAATGATACGCTTAAAAATTGCTAAGGCCGCATTGTTCAGATCTCAGGTAGTTTATAATCATTGAATTTGTTCAGTAAACACGAATGTACATTCTTGATTAATTGATTAAGAGATATGAAATATAAATCTATGTCAATCCTGCGATCCGAATGCATCAATATGTAAAAACCGCTAAATATTTTATAGCTGACTTTGTTTCTTTAAGTCCCGTTGTTTGGAAACATAGTGCAATTCCCCTTAACAACTGAAAACTTGAGAAAACTACCCTAAGAAAATTCTTGTGAGCGGCTAACGCAGTTTTCCTCGAGCAAACGAGACCTGTAGAGAATGTAGAGTATTTCGAAATATTATTAAGGAAGCATTGGCTATATTAATCCTTATGTGCATACTTCATATTATTTAAACGATTGAAGTTTTAATCCTATTTACAATTCTCCAGTAATTCTAATGTTCACACATGTGTAGTCGTAAGCCTGACCGATCCTGCTTATTGAGCTTACGTAAGCTATGACACTTCAGTTCAGTTATCACTATCATCATCGTCGTCACTTTCCATTTACATCACATTATTAGCCGATGCCTAGAACCCGCTTTCAAGTTTGGTCATTGAATCAAATCAAATGGAAATTAGTTACGGTTAACTGAATGGTTGATGTCAGAAATTACTTTTTGTCCCATAGTTCTGTAAATATTTGTAAACGTATCGGTATTTATTGTGAGCCTGATCTCGCTGTAATGACCATTTTACATGTTTTTTGCCGCCGTACAAGATTTATCATTGACATTGCCATTTACAATGACCATCGCTCTCATGGCCATTGAAAAAAATTATTAGGTAGAACTGCTTACTTTTACAGCACTCGAGATGTCATCGTGGGGAGACTATGACATCTTCTGGGTTATTCTAGTAAGCAGAAAAAATATGTTTGTAATGCTGTTATTCACTTAGTGAAATTTTATAATTAGAAGAAATTTACATACATAACTTCGCATATGAAATAAAGCTTCGAATAATGTTAAACCGGTGCTATAAATGACTGCTGCTGTATTCTGCTTCAATTTCGTACATTGGTTGTTCTATTTATAAAGAAACTATATTTTAAAAACTTTGCATTGATATCTGTTAATTGTTCACTGCTGCAGTTTTGCTACGACGTAGTAACTAGGATCTATAACAAATAAAACGTAATCTAGTCAATGTGAGTCCGTCAATCTGCATAGCTGAAGGTGAAACTGCGTCGCCTTTTTATTTATAAAATTTTAAAGGCTGATATATATTCACAGTAAAGCTGTTCACTGAGTAAACAGCACAAGTCACGTATTTTATATACCGTTTATAGTCAAACTATAAACGGTATAACTGTCAGAGTATGAACCTAAGTTGAAGAGTTGTGCCCTTTCAACATGTGTCCAACTTGTATAGTTCATTGCTGTTCAAACTGCAGTAGACATCGTCTTTCACTAGAAAAATGAACAAATTTAGTTCATTAAAAAATAGAAACCCAATTAGACACGTTTTGAATGCTAGAAGCTGAATTTTAAAAATCCTGTTGGTATAATTTTTACACTATCTTCTTCGGTGAGCTGCACTTTTGGAGATTATGAATTAAGAAATGAGCCTCCTATAAAACTACACACATCGCTTACGAGACTAAAACTTGATATTTATAAATACTTATAAATGTATTAATTTGACATTGGTCTGCAAATGCATATATATAAAAATATCTTATAATAATAATTGCAATTGGCTAAACTTAATTAATTTTCATCAATTTCATGTGCAGGCATCATGTATAAAGCCAATGAAATTGTGCCTTCACTGCGGTTGAAGTTTGCATAGAAGAACGGTAACTGATGTGTTTAGAGACAAAACTCGTGTCAAGGCAGCTCTAAATTTACAAATAAATCTATAGTCTGTAATTTGCTGCGAGCATTCATTCAAATAATAGTAAAATTTATACTTGTACAGTAAACATTTTATATCCTTACTATGCTTTGAATGAGTACGAGGGTAAAGAAGAGAAATTAAAATTATCAGTCAATGACAAAATGATAACTAACACATAGACAGAAATATATAAAAATTGATTTACTTACTCGCCAATTGGGCAGTACACATAACGATTATCCTGAAATCAGCGCGTCTATTCAGTGATTGATACTAGAACGTCTATAAATTAACTAAATTATCGGCTTCCCTTGTGATGATCGGGCGGCAAAGTCAACATTATTATCATTTAACACAATCTATCCCACTTTATTCCTTCAAAGTTAAAAATTCTGATAGCACTCACCTAGTGAACCTTGAGATTAGCAATCGCCTTTATTTGTGATAAATAACTCAACATTTGCCTCTTTCGCTATAATATTTATGTTCAATTTAAAAGAAAACAGCTCCCAGGACAGGCATGAACGACCATTCAATCCCTGCTGTCTGCTCAGCTGCTCGATATTGCTCTTCTTGCCTTCACTGATTAGCGTCGAGATTGCGATGCCTCACAATTGATTGCCAGTCCCAGACATCGAAATTGGAATCATATTCCCTGAATCTGTCCTACCTGAAACTTCTATGTTCGGTCGTCGAACTACCAGCAATGAACTTTCCGAAGCGAAATAGTATTTATGAGTTTATTTTTGAAGTGGAGTGCCGATCGTAGCGTTCCGGTTTTATATCTCCACGTATACATCAGAAAATCAAATGCTAAAATCAGATAATTATTTGCAAGCTTTGCACAAATTCTGGATTCGATTTCGTCTTCTACCTCCAACAATGTTCAGTGTATTCCGAAGAAAAAAACTCATCACTCGAGCGCATTTGTGAGGTGTGAGGTGGATATCGAGTGCTCGGTAAAAGTTTCGGGCTGAGCCGGCGAAGCGCAGCTTAGAATATTCATGCAGCGGCGGTTCTTTAAATTACATGACCGCGCGCTGGTGAGCGAGAGCTGCCCCGTGGATCCTGTCTGCATCGCCCAAGTCTCGTACCAGCAGCACAATAACACCCGGCTTGTCAGGACAAGCCTCGTATCATGACTACACAACACCCGGCTTGTCAGGACAAGCCTCGTATTATGGCTACATAACACCCGGCTTGTCAGGACAAGCCTGGTATCATGGCTACATAACACCCGGCTTGTCAGGACAAGCCTTGTATCATGGCTACATAACACCCGGCTTGTCAGGACAAGCCTCGTATCATGGCTACACAACACCCGGCTTCTCAGGACAAGCCTCGTATCATGGCTACATAACACCCGGCTTGTCAGGACAAGCCTGGTATCATGGCTACATAACACCCGGCTTGTCAGGACAAGCCTGGTATCATGGCTACACAACACCCGGCTTGTCAGGACAAGCCTCGTATCATGGCTACACAACACCCGGCTTGTCAGGACAAGCCTCGTATCATGGCTACACAACACCTGGCTTGTCAGGACAAGCCTCGTACCCAACACCCGGCTTGCAATTTTTCTAATCAGTTTTTCATCGTCATGATGCAAATGGTAGGAAAGTTTCAACATTTGAACATGGATTTCCATCTCATTTAGAATAAATGAGGGATGAAGTGAACTAAGGGTGTGGCTAATACATGAATATATATTTGAATGAATTAATTTACTACCGCCATATAAACATGATTACCGGGTGAATCTTGAATTCATGATCATGAGTAATTGTGTAAAAAAACATTGTATTAATGTAGCACGCATCCTAAAAAAATTATTTCTCTGTCATTAAAACCGAACAATTGAGGTTATAATTATTAATTATAATGCGATCCATTCAATTTGTGCAGCATTTGACCGTGCTACGACTTGTTGTAGAGCTCTACCTATATACATATATGCATTAGAATATAGGACAGTGAAGGAGGCTAATTCGATTAGCGAAGCCTCGAAATGTTTAGTCAGGAAACAGAGATGAAGAGACCTACTTTGGAATTCCCATTTGATGAAAGAGCTTTGGACGACCGCTTCCATGAGACCGTGGCTCGAAGTGGTGGATTAAAACGCGGGAAACTCAACTAAATCTGAATAAGTGGACCGGAGACCACATACAGAACTCCTACTCACAAGGTGCAAGGAGTTAAATCCCGATAGATTCTGCATTTATGAACTATTAAAGGCTTTTTAATGTCCGAATAAATTTTCCTTCAGAAATGATCGTTGTCGCCCTGGTTCTGGTTTAAATTATTTGATAAAATACGAATTACCGTGTTAAAACCTTGAACTAAGTTTTGAAAAATTTTCCAAAAATTTGATATCGTATGTTAATTGATGCTGACTTATGTGAATGTGTCGCATAGTTCGATGTGAAATGTAGCGTTATATTCAAAATTCAAACTGATGACCAAGTTGTTTGGGTGTTGTGCATATCCCATTCACCGCGCTGCAGGACGCGACCAGAGCCACTGTATGCTGCAGAGGGATGCTTTGGTCTTAAGGTTGGAATTTTATTTCAGATATTTTTAACATGAAATAAATAATTATGCGTTTTGGATAATTGTTTACAAAAATTAGTACAAAAAATGTAAATTTGAAACGAAAGTGTCAAATTATTTCCTTGAAAAATCGAAATTTTGTATAAAAAGTTATTTAACTCAATCTCCGAACAACGTCTGGAAAATTGAAAGTTTGGCAGCAATTGAACATGCTTTTACACAAAAACATTTTGCACCTATCCTTAAAATATTTGCCCACTTTTTAAATACGGTAAGTAAAGTAATATTTATATTGAGCATCAAGAGAATTCTCACTATTTTGCTGGTACAAATATTCTAATTCTTCAGACTAAAAAAATCTATATATATATATATATTCACTATTTCACGTCAACCTAAATATTCAATAATGTCAAACCTCATGCTATTTTTGAATTACACGAATGAATATTACGTATTATGCAGTGAGCAGCTGCACTTGTATGGATTATTCACCAGTGGCAAAAATGATTTATCATTAATAGCGCAGCCGAGGGCTGGATAAGGGGAACAGTTTTGCAATACACTTAAAGGGAAGTTGCTCATCAGTTGGAGCAGGCACAACTTGCATGTTGTATTTAAACGTGTCCAGTCCGCAAATATTAATTCAAACAAAACATTAACAACAAAGTTGAAAATAGCCGCGTAGGTTTCTTGTTATA